CATAAATCAGTTAAATGACGAAAAATTAGGTGTCTATTTACTCGTGACCACTCAGTGTACGTTTTTTCTTCGGTATTAAATAATTTTTGTTCTCCATTTCTTAGATATCTGATCATAAAATAATTGTTTCTATAACATTCTCAATATGAAATTGTTATTTCTATTGTTCGGCCATATATTTTATTTTCTTCCCTATTTTTATTTTCAAATTTAAACCCCTTTTGCGTGTCTTAATTAACGTCGTAATCACATGTCATTAGTTGAACAAACGTGACAGTAACTCTCTTAGTGTTACACAAGATGAACAGTTTTGCCGTTTTTCTAAGTGACGATTTTTTGATCAGCAGAACGAATATTGCACCACATCGCCAGCTTACTTTCCCAAATGCCTAGATGAAGAATTGGCCATAACGTAAAGTAATGTATTCAACTTTGACCTTTAGACCATCGATTTTTTTTTCGGGATCCCCCAGTGGTTCAGCGGCAAGTTTGTGGACTTACAACGCTAAAATCCAAGATTTGATTCCTCGTTGTTGACAGATACAAACAAACCATTTACAATGTTCTTTTCAGACAATTGAAAACACTCCAGAATAAAGAAAATACAGAAGAACTTGTCATTTTAAAACTTATACTCGTACATTTCTGAGAGCCAACGAATTAAATGTCGAGGGTTCCTTCTCCAGTAAAGAAAAGAAGGACGTTTTTCTGAGGGTTTGGTACTGAAAATGAATAATTAGCGACTTCTTTATACCCTCGACATCTTAGAAAGAGTTTCGGAATTTTATCTACAATATTCATTGAGTATTGGGAAGTAAACAGATATCGATTGAATTGATTTGAATTTCGCGCAAAGCAACACGAGGGCTATCTGCGCTAACCATCCATGATTTAGCAGCGAAAGACTAGAGGGAAGGCAGCTAGTCATCCCCACCCACCGCCTCCTCTTGGGCTACTCTTTTACCAACGAATAGGTGGGATTGACCGTCACATCATAACGCCCCCACAGCTGAAAGGGCGAGTATATTTGGTGGGATGGGGTTTCGAACTCGTGACCCTCAGATTGCGAGTCGAGCGCCCTAACCACTTGGACATGCCGGGCCTAGCGAGAGAAAAGAAGACTGTTAACAATGGGTAAAGTGACCCACCAATTTTAATGACGAAACAAACACGTCAGTACAACTTTTATTAAAAATAAATTTCCAGTATTACACACGAGTCGTGCAGGAAACACTTCTTACAGTACATTGTGACTCTCGTACAAAGAGTAATCTTAAATCGGATCTTTGACTTTGACCTCGAATAATAATAATAATACACCAGATTGAAAGGAGGGCTAAAAAAAAATATGGGTGCAACTCTGGCCGAAAGTCAAGGTCGTAAAATGGTCACTTAACATGGTTCATAGCCCTGTTATATTTCTAGTTTGAGTACTTTGAAGTCGAGAGTATTTTTAATACCGTCGCTTTTTTTTTCTGTTTGAAATTGATCAGAAAGTATCAAGAAATAATATATACTATCAGGAGTACATGTATATCAAACAGAACAAGGGTAAAACTTTGTTATAAAGCTATCAGGAGTACATGTATATCAAACAGAACAAGGGTAAAACTTTGTTATAAAACTATCAGGAGTACATGTATATCAAACAGAACAAGGGTAAAACTTTGTTATAAAACTAATTACAACCATTCCAGAAGGTACATACGGACAGAATAAATAAGACTTTTTACAGTGGCGGGAATACTCACGTTTTTCTTATTAGAACGATAGTTATCTCACTACGTTAGGGATGCAACAAGTAAATCTTTATGTAGACTTAATCTAACGATATTAATGTTGTTTTATATAATATATTATACGTTTCGACTTAAGACAGAATATAAAACAACACATTTGTCTTAATGCCGAACGTTCCATTTCACAGATCATTTTCTACAATCATAAAATCAACCTGCTCATAAGTTGTACGAGTTATGTAACCATCCGTTTTCTGTACGAGTTGTTAGAATTATTGCCCGAGTTATTGTTTATTTGGTTCAGATTTTAACGTAAATGTACGTGAAGGGATATCTGATCACCATTGTCTCTTAATCTTGAAACGACAGGCTAAAGAGAAGTTAGTTACTCAACACTTACACCAGCTCCTGTAGCATTATTATATTATACTCACGGCCCCAAAGGTGGCAGTGCGCTTTTGATGCAAGGGGTCACGAACAACCATGAGTCCAATAATTCTCAGACTGGGCACGCTAACGAATATGACACGCCCAGCTCTACATACTTATGAAAGTCTACTAAAATTTATGAATGCTATAATGTTCAGACTGAATCAATCACAGAAATATGGATTTGTTTTAAGAATATGTAATAATAAATAATAAAACAAAAAGAAGTTTTACGTCATCTATGACGTAGTGGAGGTCAATATAAACGCGTTGGTTGCAACATGTGCGTCAGGAAAGTGATGATGCTAGAGTGTTTATGTGCAATACATGGTATGTTGTACCTAAAGGCTCGGTATTTGCATTAATGTATAGGACGTTAAGTCTCGAGTATCTATAACAGTAAATTTTAACGATATTTTTGAAATAGTTATCAAAAACTGGATGTTGTGCTACGATTACAACCTCTGTTACAGAGTTTGTTTTCTATTATTTTTGTAATTAATGCTATTCTGTTATTAGTATTAACCCCATTCTATATGGCTGTTCACCGAGTGCTACTGGTTTGTTATACTCCTGTGGAATACTGATCATCCAGATTTTCGTTACTTCCTCTCTGTTACATTTATATAGTCTGTTATTTCATATTTTTACACCTTCATTCTTAACTGGATGTTACTTCATGTGTTTTTATGTTTACAGGGATTGATTACGTTGTATTATAATGATTTTGGAGCCATGTCGTTAAGTCCGGCCATGCTCTAACTGACGACCGTGCACCTTGACAATATCTCTGCACCGTAGTTTCTCTTACAAAATGCATCGTCGTAATGCTGTTATGTTCAAAGCACACTACTCCTCCCTGCATGATTTCCACACTCCATCTAGTGTACGAGGACGACGGTTTCTCAGTGCCCGTTTCAACAGTCCGATTGTTAGAAATATATATAAGGGGTTGCTTCCGGCGAATTGACCTGTACGTCTTCATGTGACATAGCACGAATACTGGTTTCAGTCTTCAGCTACTTCACATATGTCATGGAATCACGTGATTTTGTCACTTTTCCAGATGAAGATCCCCCTTGATTATTCTACGTACTGTTGCCCAAAACCCGTGGACGGCTATTTTCCCAGTGACTTGTTTTCTCACTTGTTAAAGATGCCACTATTTGCATACTTGTTGCAGTTTTCTTTCCGGTTGATCCATATCCCCCTTTTTTTTCCAATGCCATTATGTACAAGGGATATTCCCATCTTGTAAATTATAATTCCCCGATTTGAACACA